GATCTCGTGATAAGAGGGATCGCAGCGGTAGTCATGATTGAAATGGATGAGACCTTTCATTTCTAAGCATCACATTGTAATGTCATCAAAACGGATTTGAGTTGTGTCTCAGTTATCACATTCACGGCTATTCCGTACCTTGTTAGTTTGTCGCTGTGTTATGGCATCCTTAAGCAGTTATGAGCCCCTACTCAAGAGCTCCTACTTCTCTGTATCATGCTTCTCCCTAGTCCCCAGATAAAGCAGGTGAGCCTTTTCTCCATTTTCCGTCCGCAAGTGTGATCTGTGTGATGTGACGTTATCCCCAGCTCAATACATGGTCATCTTCTCTACCCGATCAGATAAGCATCTGCTACGAATGTATGTTCGGAGGCCACATATTCGGACCAAGAAACTCGTCGAAAGCCTCCGTAACTCCTCATGGGATGAGCTAGTGGACGAGAGGTCTGCTGCTGGAACCGTGGAACTGGGGCATCTCACCAGTGGTAAGTCACCACGAGCGAGAGAGCTCGTCCATGAAGTTCGATGAATAATATGATATGTTGAAACTCATAGAGTCTAGGGCCAAGCTTGAGAGGCTCGGAAACACTCGTATTCAGCTTCCCGACTATCGGATTTCAAGTTCACGTACAGGGTATGGTCTTGAAACCCCACAGAGAACTGCTGAGGACAGATAACTCAAGCGGTCTACAATGCCGTTTGAACCTTAGGGGTAGAGGATCTGAAACGGAAATTTCGAACTGAGAGAAGCACTCCTTAGAGCCTGGGATGATTTGATGCTCAAAGCCGTCAAGTTGACGGCATGCGCATTCCTCCCAGAGTTTCTCAACTTTGGAAGACCCCTGGGTGCACTGACAGATTCAAGAGGTCCATCCTATACAAGAAGGATTACTAGTGGAACAACCCCAGTAACTGAGCTGAGTCTTGAGGTGGCGAGCCGACTCGCTGTCGTCGACGGCCACAGCTTGTCGACGTGTAGGGATAATGAAGGATCGCCATAACAGACAGTAGCGGTCCTGGAAATTACTATTGTTAGTTCTGTAACATCTGATTGATTATCATTATGATAACCTCACATGTTGTCCTTCTACTGTGGATTCCCAATATAATTACAGGGTCGATCATTTTAGAGAGTGCGACGATTGAGCCGCCTTGGTTCGGACCATTCGAATTCAAGGTTTCAAGCCCATCGATTCGTCAGAGACAATATCTTCAACAATTGGATATCTGTATTCGTGTTTTTGGGAGAATATTGACATATTCGCTCGAAAACACGAATGTCCCTGAACCTTGTCAGCTCACTTACTTGCTGTTATATTTTCAGGTTCTGTCCGCGCGAGTGATAGCATCTCAACTCCTTCGTTTCGCTCTCCATTCACTGGCCCTCTCGAGTCAGCTTCAAAGGCACTGTCTTGGCGGAATGATCCATTTGCTACAGAGTGTTACCTGAGCAATACAGTGAGCAGTTTCACTCTGGTGATTTAAGCTCCGGCGAATGACTCATCCGAGATGAATCAACCCTTTTAGGGTATTCGAGGAGTATAGCCGCAGGTGATCGTAGAGCTCCGGCTTGCGATTGACATACGCTTGGTTATTCGACTGTCTCAGTTTTCTTACATGAGCAAACACTAACATTCTGTAAGTTATCAAAAAGATACTCATCTCTAAACAGTTCGACTCCCATGCTTTGTGTTGACGACGATTTTTCCACTTGAATGCTCTCGAGTTGAA